GCTAATGTGCAGCCAGGGTAAAAACCACTGCTTCCGTGACTTGAGAACCAAGGCGTGGAAAGTGCAAGTGAGGGCAGTAATTAGTGATAGTCAAGGGGTTCAAAGGGTTAAGGAAAAGTATTTTTGTCTGAAGACCATCTTTGAACATGTTTACGTGCAAAGTTGTACGTGCCAGGAGTGAGCAGCTGTAGCTAGGTTGACAAGGCATCTGTCTGATCGAGAGGAACCGAGGGCATTGTGGAAGGGATTTGTTTTGAGCAGGGCAGGGGAGGTTGTGTGAAGGTATGTAAATGGGGACTCCTGTCCAATGCTCTATTGTCTACAAGGGGAGTTGGGGATGAGCTGCTGAGGTTGAGAGGAGGGGTAGAAAATGTTTAAGTGGCCAGTTTGCAATAGCTGCTGACAACAAGTAGGAAGTTGAGTGAGCTAAATACTGAGAGCAATTCAAATGTCAGCATGATTTTGGGGTGGTAGAAGCTTGCACAGTCATGACAATTTTCATGGAGAAATACATGGCTCCCTGGAAGGAATAAGATATAGAATCCACTCATAGTGCTATGGGTTGATTTAAGTCAAAGCCACCAAGGCTGTTCGTAAGTTTTCTGATATTTACTTCTAGAGAAAGAAAACATTAATGTTCATAACTTACACCTTATTCTTTTTATATTCCCACACCTTGATATCTAGTCACGACATTTTTGGCTAGAGGTACTTTTAAATGGTATTCAAGATAGAAAAGAAAAATTAAAGGGTGCTTTAAAAGATGGCAAAAATTGCCCGACCAGTGCGGCTCAGTGGATTGAGTGTCGTCCCAGGGACTGAGAGGCCCCGGTCTGATTCCTGGTCAGGACATTCGCCCGGATTGCAGGCTCGATCCCCAGCAGAGTGTGTGCAGGAGCCGATCGATGTTTCTCTCACATTGATGTTTCTATCTCTCCCTCTAAAAAATCAATTAAAAAAAATAACACACATATTTTAAAAATAAAGATTGCAAAAATTGAGAAGTAAACAGCCTACATATGTGTATTAATCATGGTTTTAAATTTGCTGTAAATTATGTGTTATATCTTAAGAAAGCTTTCTGCCTGGGGAGAGACTGCTCCTTCAGGGTTAGCCAATTCTTAGGAAGGCAAAGGATTCTGCCGGCAGCATGCTTTTTCTCTTTTTATCCTCACCTGAGGACATTTTTCCATTTTTTTGTTCAGATAGAGTGAGAGGGAGAGAGAGAAAAACAGCGACATGAAGGAACACATTGAGTGGCTGCCTTCCGCACGATCCAACCAGGGCCGGGGACAAACTGCAACCGAGGTCCATGCCCTTAGCGGGAACCGAACCTGGGTCTCTCTGGACCGTAGGCCGACGCTCTAACAGCTGAGCCAAACCAGCCAGGGCAAGCAGCAGCATGCTTTCAATGTGCAAACTCACCAGGTATGATGGAGCCTTAACTCCCCCATCTGGCGTGTACAGCCCAGGAAGCAAACATCCCAGGGCCAGGGACCAGGCAACTAGAGACCACACGATAGTCCACAGGACCTGGAATAACTCGAACTAGCCGTTCCTAAACTGTCCACCCTCCCTGCCTTGACTTTCAGGAGGAAACTCCCAGAGTCTCTGGCCTAAACCTATCACTTGCTTCTGGTCTTCTGCCTCCTGATCCAAACCTGGTGTTTGTCCCGTGGCCCTGCGTGGCCAGCCGTGCCCTGTGTTTCTAGGGAAACTGTAACCTTCAACTCTTATTTCGGTGGCACTGACCTCTCCATGTCCTCACTCAGCCACCTTTATAAAGTAAGACCCGGGCACTCCTTGGCCACACATATTCCCAAAAAGAGAGAACTTGTGTTCATGGGCCTTAGTAGTCAGTTAGGGTCCAGCCCAATTCATACATATAAAATCTGAAGAAAAAAAATGGTCATGATTAAAAACTTTAAGATTAGAGTGCCATATTGTGAAACACTGAATCCACGAGTCAGAAAGACATATATATACACCATACTTTTGCTGTTGGTCCCCAACCCCCACAGACACACTTGAAAATTAATTTTTACACGCTGAGATTTTTACAGTACTGAGATTAAGTCCTAGCAAAAGATTACCAATAACTCAACAGGTATTTTCTACAAAAGCTATGTACTCTGGGTGGGTTTTCTTCCAATTGTTTTTCACACTTGTGAGTCTTGATTTAAAGGCTTCAACACTGTGACACTGGAAAATACACATTTTCCCATGAAACTGAGATACAATGAACAAGTATCATCAAGTTATGAATGGCAGTAATGTACACAAACGTTTTACTATCAATTGTGAAAAATGACTATCACTCACAGACTAAAAATCCGTGGTTATATTTTAATCCATTTAAAACATTGTTTCCATCCATCTGAATTTGGCCTTGATGACATTTTCCTCCACATTATCCTCTCTCAGTACTTCCAGGTGACTTCTCAGGAGCTCAAGGGAAAGGGTATGGGAAACAAAGTCATTAACAGTGTCTGCAAAATATCATACACAAAACATCTCTTCTTTTTTTAAATCCTGCCACGAGGATACATTTTTATTGACTTCAGGGGGCGGGGGGATCAATCAGTTGCCTCCTATTCACACCCCAACTCTCAACCTGGGTAGGTGCCCTGACAGGAATCAAACCGGAGACCTGGGTGTACAGAATGACACTCCAACAAACTGAGCAGCCCCCACCCTGAGTTTCAGATTCAGGTCTGGTGAGGCAGTTTGCTGATGCCATTGGTCCAGGCACCCTAGCACCCCTATTGTAAGCATCCCCCCGCCTTTCCCTTGCCTCCTCACTTCTGGACCCTCTCAACATCACTTTCCTTGGTGAACATCTTAAGGATATGCCTATTCTTCAATATTGTGCTTAAAATTGTTTTATTTCCAAAATTTGGCAATTTTACCAAATACACCATGTACCTATGTCTGTCTGCAGTGGCAGGAAATTTTCTTTAGTCCTAAATTTGTTTTGCTGAACTTGTTAAAAACCTTAAAATCCACTCTTGAGCAGTATCACTCATTTTCCTTGTTTCTTTTCTTTAAAAAAGTTTTTTTTTCTTTATTGATTTTAGAGAGGGAGGGAGAGGGAGACAGAAACATCGATGAGAGAGAACATCAAATGGCCGCCTCCTGCATGCCCCCCGCTGGGGATTGGGCATGTGCCCTGACCGGGAATTGAACCGGCGACCTCCTGGTGCATGGACTGATGCTCAACCACTGAGCCACACCGGTCGGGCATGTCCTTGTTTCTTTTCAATGTTGCTGTTCCCAGGCATTTGGCATTCACCTGCTGTGATCTTAATGTAGGCAAAAGCATCTCTGGGCCACTGCATTAGGGCTAATAGTGGACCCCACCAATTTCCTCTCCCTTTCCCTCTGTGCAGTGTTCTGATGGGGCAGGAACCCGTCTTGATCACTGCCACCCTCAGTAACTCCACTAACTGTCATGACTGGAGTGAGAGAGAAGGAAATACTGACAAGTAAAACAGACAGCCTGAGCATTAACGAAGGAAGCAGCTGACAGCAAGCGCGAACTGCTTCTATCGTCCCTCCTGCCATCCCATGAACCATGACACATTCTGCAAGCTGTGCCCCTAATAGGCTGCAACCACAGCTGCCAGAGGAAGCCACTCTGTTCTCAGATAAGGTTCGTCAGACATATGGAACACTGAATATGGCTTCTAATGTGAGACTTTTAGAGCCCAGGAACAAGCGCATGGCTCAGAAGCACAGTAATGAAGTCAAAATACAGCAAAGACCTGAAGTGCATCATGCATCATCAGGAGCCTTCGCCTGGAGCCAAAGTGGAGAAGCCATCACATCAGCAGACAGCCCAGCCAGCTCCCTTCTCTAAGTGACTCCTGTGATAACTCTGCTCCTTTACTTTGCCACATCAGAACTTCCACTACTAGGGTCTAAGCTGTGGTTCTGATTCCAAATTCAAAGATGTATCAGATCAGTCTATTTGGGATTCATACAAAGTTTCATTACCTGTTCTAGATGTGGAGTTTTACTTAGCAAAGATGCCGTAAGCACAGCAGGTTAGATTTATTTCAGCTTTTGGTCATTTTGCTGCCCAAATGGCCTTGTTTGCAGGCTGCTTCATAGCGCAGCAAAACAATGCATTTGATTTCTAAAGAACTCAAGTTTAAAAGCACAGACAAGTCAATAAAGACCATATTCTGTTCCTCCCAAATTTGGCACCATGTAAACAGCTACTAATTTCCTCTTCTGAACAGTTCTTATCAAAAAGCAGCACAAGAGTTTTGACGCAAATGAAGCTGTTCCCTTTAAAATACTGCATCTGAGAAATAATATCCAATTCCCTTAAACTCATAAGCAAAACTAACTTTTATGAATGACAGTAGTAGATAATGTCCTGACTTTTGCCTCTTGTGGAAAATACACAACATTAGGATCCAGACAGGCAGATTGTGTAGCCTATTGGGACAAATCAGAACCTTGAAATAAATGAGAACTATAGAACTCAGCCTCTTATTACTTCTGAGCAGATCAAATACATGTATCCTCAAAGGATGTAATGCTATTACAGATATTTTTAACATATTACAAAACCTGATTTTGAAATTGCATCTTTTGTTGAAAGGTAACAGACTTTCCTTATAACATTATATAATTTACCATATAAAAAGATTTAAAACTTAAGATTCAAAATACACTCCATTTTCTCTAAGGTTCCTTTGGAATTCATATAGAAAACCAGCAGAATAAGTTACTAATTCTGTAAGCAGGCTCATGCAGCATCTTACAAGAACACAATTTAAAAACCTGTGTTGCAAAGTACTTGTGTGCTTAATTGCTATTTTCCTAGGCAATCAATTTCTTCCCCAATTATTATAGGTAGATATGGCATTTTTGGTTGATCCGTATTGAAACTATTCATAATATGTAGAAAAGCATACCCAAGAAAGATGATAAACATTCATGGCTTACTGTTTCAAAAACACGGATCTCAGAGCAACTCAGGTCTATCAATGAAAAACAAGAGATTATAACCCAAGGCAGAGCACGTCTGGGATTTTAATCCTGGCTAGATTATGTGATTTTTGAGCAAGTCACTAAACTGTGACTGCTCTTGTCTCCATAAAATGGCAGCAGTCACCTACCTTTACATCATAGAGATATTTAAAATGTCAAGTTGTATATATAAATTAGTTTTAATCACAAGTAAAGAGGAGAGCTGTCAAGCAACATGCCATGAAGAAAAGAGTCTACCTGAACTATGGAGGTCTTAATGAGCTATGATCACAGGACCAATCTCTGCATGAGCCAGAGTTTAGTGCAAAGAAAGTAAAATTTTCACGGATTTCTCCCTCAAACCCAAAAAGGTATGTTAAAAATGTGTGCCTCAGGACACCAGGGGGACTAGGTAAGAATGCACACGACAATGAGACCCACCTTCATCACTAACGGCTCAGTAGTGCCGACATGCCATCTTCCCCACGCTGTGGGTGTGGCCTGCAGGGAAGGGCAGCACATGCACTAGCGCACGAGAACCAGGCGGCTCCCAGGGTGCTGCATTGGCCTTAGCACTCCTCCTCACCCCATAATCTCCATTTGCGCCCCCTCCACCATACTCCTTGTTAGAGACAACTGGCATGCTCTGTCTTACAAAAAGTGCCACATAAACTTAGCTTCTGTCCCCCTCTCTGACTAGATTCACACCAACCCCAAAGACAAGGAAATGCTGAAGCTACCACCGACAAGAGCTATACTTTTTAAAGGGAACACAATAAAAGAGCCCACCATCACATTCTGTGTGAGAAAAAGGGGCGTCTGCCCTTCAGGGAGAGGAGACTCTGTCCCCCTCCCACCTGCTTAAGCACAGAAATTGTCCAGGTGCAAGACTGGGAGTTCTTCTAGAACACTCCCAGAGCAGTGGGCACTCAGAGCAGTTTCTGTATATTTCTGAGAAAGTGTACTCAATTTGTACAAAAACAGAACCCTTCTATCAATCAGGCCCCTGAATGAAAGACACTCTGGATAACCCTCTTTAGAAAGGGTGGCTTTCCTCCAGCAGCTCTAGGCAGTCACTTATTCCTCACTTTGACAAAGGAGCATCCAACGTCAGGCATGGCTGTGTACATAACTCTGCGCGCAGCTCAGCTGTCATAAACACACCAAGTACAAAGGCATGTCAAAAGACATTTTTCCTCCCCAAAGTACAACCCCAAGAAGCCATTATTATAATAGAGGATAAATATCTGCTGCAGGTTATTGACCTGTAAACTAACAATAAAATCCCGTTTAGTATATAAAGGCTTACACTGCAACATGAAGTATTAAGATACAATCCACTGACTACTCTAAGTCTGCTGTACAGTTAAACCATCTTCTTTGTTACACCAATCTGTGTGTGTGTGTGTGTGTGTGTGTGTGTGTGTGTAAAATGTCCTCTTTCGGTAGAACACGAACTCTGGAGATGAGGCAAAGTACAACGCAGCTGCTGGTGATCCCATGAGGCCATCTAGAATACTGCAAGAAGTTCCCAAGTCCCATGCTGCTGGTGTCACTTCTGGGGCTCCAAATTGAGACCCCGGTGGATTGATCTTATTGGCACTCTGAGTGAATCAAGGCCAGGCTGAAAGGCAAGCCTTACCTTCTGCAAACACAATTCCACACACAGGTCTTAACTCAGCGCTTCAATTTGCCTGGAATTGACTGCAGATTTGGAACTTCCTCAAATGATATTAAAAGCTCTACACAAAAAGTATGCAAAAGCAGTTACTAGTTTTTCAAGAAAAAAGACACACCTGCAAAAAAGCAACAGCTCTGTGAACGGAGCTGCAGGTAACTGCTGAGACAGCAATAGCAATGTAACAAATATAGCATAGGATGACCTTTTTAAAAAAAAACTGCTGCCCCATACTTCACTTCTTTAAAAACAAAAACACAGATTTTCACAATATGATTTTCTAGGAGAAAGAGTCCACTGCTTTGAAAAAGAAGGAGCCTGTCCTGGTGATAAACAGACTGGGAATCTCAATTAAGATATGCAAGACTATATAATACAAAATCTAATATTTGTTTCACGACACCCCGTTGGCTCCTGGTGGGTGAGCTACTGTTCTCTAGCTGCATCCAGGGCTCTTTTCTTGTGGCATTTTAAAAAACGTAGCTTCAGGTGAATCAGTGGCTTTCTCTGTGACAGAGGTCCTGACCAACCACTCAGCGTTTGGAGACTTGGAGGCCTGTGATGCCGGTGTGGTTGGCTCCATCACATCCACATGAACAGGTGAGATTGCTACAATAAAAGGAAAAAAGAAATCAAGGGGAAACAAATGAGAATGAGAGACACTTCAACCCCAAATATTCTTAATCCTTATATCTTATGCCCTCTTAACCCAAGTGGCCACATAAGGATTTTCCTTTGTCTTTACAAAGAAATAAAGGCAAGATTTAAGTAAGCTAAATATTTCTCCACCCAAAATGGGTTTAAATGAATAAACAAATTTATGTCGTAATCATCACGTCTTAAGCGTAAACATTACATTCATAATCTCATTTCGTAATGCAAATTCTTAGAAGTAGGTATTGTCATCTCCATTTTCCAGGTCAGAAAACTGAGCCATACAGAGAGCAGATAAATTCTTCAGGGACAAAACAGAGCTGGTTAAGTAACAAGATTCAAACTTATACACTGGACTCTAAGCCCTATGTTCCTTTCATCACACCCCATGCCTCCAATATGACAGTGTCACCAATAAATAGTGGATAATAAGGTAAATGGTAGAAAAAAAATCGCACAATTAGGCCCAGTTTTTCAACAAGAACACTGAACACATTCTAGACAGAATAATAACTGCTTATGCAGGGCTGTCCTGTATATTTCCGGACACTTACCATTCTGGACCCCATACACTGAATGCCAAAAGTACTCCCTAGTTAGTCACTGGTACAACCAAACACTGTCCTCACATTTCCAAATTCACCCTGGGCAGAGTAACCATCACACCCACTCTGTTGATAGCCAATATACACTAACAAAAAGCAAAATCTAGAAAGGTTCATTGTTACCCTGTCACTCAGTAATTCCACTTCAGGAATGTAACCTAGGACAGTAATTTTCAAATGGTGTGTCACAAAGTCTATTTAGTGGGCCATGACTAGTACTTTTCCTTCTTAATGAAAAAAAAAAATTTTATTAATGAAAAGGAATAAAAATATCAGAGTGTACTCAAGGAAGGATTTAGTTCAGATTTACATGAATACCCACATATGTAGTCTAACATGAATTTCTTACAGTGAATTATTATAAAAATAATCTTGCCCTGGCTGGTTTGGCTCAGCTGTACAGCCCATGGACCAAAAAGCTGCAGCTTTGATTCCCAGCCCTGGTCGGGGTTGTGAAGGAGGCAACCAGTCGATGTGTCTCTCTCACATCAATGTTTCTCTCCCTCTCCTTCTTTCTTCTCCCCCTCCCTCCCACTCTATCTGAAGATAAATAGAAAAATATCCTCGGGTGAAGATTAAAAATAATAATAATAATCTTGAAAGCTATTCCTCTATGGCACATGTACAAGAATTTCTTGAAGGGCAGTGGCTTTCAAATGTTTTGGAACCTCAAACTAAAACAGCAAGAAATACATCTGACATCACAACCCAAATCAACCCAATCTCTCTCATTCTCACACACACACACTCACTCATTTAACTGAAATTTCACAAAACTATATTCACAATTACTATATGGTCATTAACCACAGTGAAAAACCCTACCCTAGAAAAACTTTCTTTTGCTATATGTTTTTTTATTACGACAAAATATATATAACATAGTTTATCATGTTAATAATTTTTAAGCACACAGTTCAGTGGCATTAAGTACATTTACACTGTTTCACAACCATCACCACCATGCATCTCCAGAACTTTTTCACCATTCCAAATGAAAATCCATTCTCCTTTCCCCCAGCCCCTGGCAACTACCATTCATTCTACTTTCTGTTTCCATAAATTTGACTATTGTAGGTCCCTCATATAACTGGAATCATATAATACTTGTTCTTTTGTGTCTGGCGTATATTACTTAGCATAACGTCTTCATCCAGGCTGTAATGTGTATCAAAATTTCATCCTGAATCACAAAGGCGCTCAGGCTGAATAATACTGCATTGTATATAATATATACCACATTTTGCTTATCCATTCATCCAGCAATGAACATTTGAGTTGCTTCTACCTTTTAGTTATTGTGAGTAATGCTGCTACAACATGGGTGTACAAATATCTGTTTGAATCCCTGCTTTAGATTCTTTTGGGTTTATATGCAGAAGCAGAATTGCACGATCATATGGTAGTTTTATATTAGATTTTTTTTAAACAGTAAAGAGGTCTTTTTTTCCCCACACGTATCATGCCATGAATTCACAGGGAATGGGTTCGAACAGCCCAGGCTCCTGTCCATTGGTTCTCACAAAGTGTGTTTTTCTGGGCGGAGCAGGCTGGCACTTCAGTTGAACCCAGGTACCTTCCTCTTTGGCTTCCTTCTTTTTCTGATCATTTTCCTTCACACGTTTCAGGAAGCTATCTCAGCTCTTAGAGTGCTTTATATGCTCAATATATACATTAATTCTTTTGACAAGAATTTGCCCTTGTTTGTTTACAACAATGCCCACTGCAAGCTGGGTGACATTGCAGGTGCCTCCAGTGTTGCCATGGTAACACTGTGGGGTATTCCTTTTTGAACAGTGCAATTCCTTTGGTGTCTACAACACCTTTCTTGCACATCCACATGTATATGGCCAGAGGAACAACTCCATGTTTTCTAAATGGCCTGGAGAACATATAGCAGATGCCTCTCCTCTTTCCCTTTGTGTTAGTCATTTTGGTGAATTACTGAAAGATGGTGGTTCTGGCTAAAAAAGTTATGTTTAGACTTTTGAGGAACTGCCATTATGTCTTCCATAGTGGCTGCACTATTCTACATTCCAATCAGCAATGAACAAAGGTTCCAATCTCTCCACATTCTTCCCAACACATTTCCTGGTTTTTGATCTGGCCATCCAAAGGAGTGTACAGTGGCCCAGAAAGAACTTCCACACCTGTTCTCGACAGAACAACACAGTATTTTTCACAATAGCGGAAAATGCAATACAATCCAAATGTCCATCAAGAATGTTTGATTGGCCCTGGCCAATTTTGCTCAGTGGTTAGAGCATTGGCCTGTGGACCAGAGAATCCCGGATTTGGTTCCTGCTAAGGGCACGTACCTCAGTTGCAGTTTGTCCCCAACTGTGGTTGGGATCGTGTGGGTGGCAGCCACTTGATGTGTCTCTCTCACATCAATGTTTCTCTCTATCTCTCTTCCCCCCCTTTCTCCCTCCCGCTCTATCTGAAAATAGATGCCAAAAAAAAAAAAAAGTCCTCGGGTGAGGATAAAAAAAACAAGAATGTTTGATTATATCTCCATCATATTCACACAACAGAACACCATATATGTGGCAGTAAAAAAATGGATTTAGCAGGATAAAACATGAATGAATCTCAAGAACATAATTGGGTAAAACCAGTAACATAAAATATGTTATTTCATTTATACAAGGTTCAAAAGCATGCAAAACTAGACAATATATTACTTAGGGATACATAGGTCTTAAAACCACTTTAAAAAATAAAGAATGGCCCTGGCCAGTTTGACTCAGCGGTTAGAGCGTCAGCCTGCAGTCCAGAGAGACCTGGGTTCGGTTCCCGCTAAGGGTGCGTACCTCAGTTGCAGTCTGTCCCTGGCCCTGGTTGGTCGTGCGGGTGGCAGCCACTTGATGTGTCCCTTTCACGTCGATGTTTCTCTCTCTCTCTCCCTCCCTCCCTCCCACTCTACCTGAACAAAAAATGGAAAAATGTCCTCGGGTGAGGATAAAAAAAAATAATAATAAAGAATGATAAGTGAGCCCTGGCCGGTTTGGCTCAGTGGTTAGAGCGTCGGCCTGCGGTACAGAGAGACCCGGGTTCGGTTCCCGCTAAGGGCACGTACCTCGGTTGCAGTTTGTCCCCGGCCCCGGTTGGTCGTGCGGGTGGCAACACTTGATGTGTCCCTTCACATCGATGTTTCTCTCTCTCTCTCTCTTCCTCTCTCTCCCTCCCGCTCTGTCTGAAAAAAAATATAAGTGTCCTCGGGTGAGGAATAAAAAAAAAAAAAAAAAAAGAATGATAAGTGAGCCCTGGCCGGTTTGGCTCAGTGGTTAGAGCGTCAGCCTGCAGTCCAGAGAGACCCGGGTTCGGTTCCCGCTAAGGGCGCGTACCTCGGTTGCAGTTTGTCCCCGGCCCTGGTCGGTCGTGTGGGTGGCAGCCACTCGTTGTGTTCCTTTCACGTCGATGTTTCTCTCTCTCTCTCTGTTCCTCTCTCCCTCCCACTCTACCTGAACAAAAAAATGGGAAAATGTCCTCGGGTGAGGATAAAAAATAAAAAATAAATAAATAAATAAATAAAATGTCCTCGGGTGAGGATAAAAAAAAAAAAAGAATGATAAGTGATTAAAAATAAGTATCAGGATTCTGGTTACCTCTGAGGAGAGTGGAAAAAATATTTTAAAGGTGATATTCTTCATCTTAAAGTGGATGGTGGGTACATGGATATTCACCATTTTTCTTTATTCCTTATATATCTTATATAAATGCTCTTATATAGCCATTCAATATTTACTAAAAAAAAAAAATTAACTTTAAAAACCACTTAAACTTTAAAAAAGGCATAGTGGACAATAAGAATCTGCCCTATGGTTCCCAAGACAAGGGTGAACCTAAAACAGAACTACTGAATCCAATCACAGGAACAGAATAATATTGAGAATAACTGTTTCAACTTTAAGATTCTATTCACATATTCATACAACAAATATCTAGTGAAATCATTCCATGTGCTGATTTTATTTTAGCAGCTAGGGGTATAGCAGCAGCAGCAAAACAGATAAAATTCCTGCCCTTCCAACTGCATCTCTCACATTGCTGGCCTGACATTTGAATCTGATGTAACTAATTCGCAGGTAGACTGTTGGGTACCCTTCCCACTGATGCTCTAAGGACACATATCCTATCCCAGAGACAAAAGTCAGAAAAGGCTTTTGGAATGGCACAATAATCAGGGCTCTGAATACATCCTGCCTTCCCATTCTCCTTTACCTAGAGCCATGCGCTTACTTTTTGAAGGAAGGGGGTCTGTATACCAGAGGCTCTGCTCTGCCATTCTGATGAAGAAAATCATCTAAGGAAATGAAGTCTGGTTTTCTTCTGAGTTCCTTCTGTTTTTTATGGCTACTTAATCTCAAATTTTGGAGAAAATAACCCTTGTTTTCTTTGTCAGTTACATTCTTTAAGAGCATATACAGCAAACTCACTTTGGCATGAGGTAACAACTTGCTGGGCATTCCCTGCTCTGGTGTATTGGGAGTTACAAACAGTCTTGCACGGTTATTCACTGAGATCCACGGTGGCTCTGTACACCACCCACCTGTGCTTATAAAGCCATAAAGAGAAAGGGAGTAGACATAAAAAGAAGAAAATAAAAGTGCAACACTTTCAAAAAGGATCTATACCATGACCCTATAAAAAGGTTCTTTTCCTTGGCCTTTTATTAATATTAGTACAAAAGGACAAGGCACGCCATTCCTTTCTGCTCTGCACCTCTCTAGCCTTATTAATATCTTTAAACTCAGTCAATTTCAACTCAAAACTTCCCACCAGTGGGGGAGGGGAAGGGGAAAAGATTTGTGGCTGCATGTTTAAGAAAGAAGCTGAATTCATCACAGTGACAGGGGAGAGTGTTGGCAGAGATCTGAGCTATTTATTCTTTTAGGAAAATCCTATAAAGAATGACACAAGGAAGCCTCTATCTGCAGTCTTGTTCATCACACTGGTGAAGAATCCGATAACAGATGTATGCAGCAGCGTGATTTAGTGCCAGGAGCTGGCCCCTGATGTGTATTAATACAGCGGCAAAGCGGAACGCACCTCTCTTCATCAGTCATTTCTATAAAAGAGGTGGAATCCGAGATGGCCCAATGTTAGGCAGAGCAAGCCCATTTGTTCTACTGACTGATGGTGCGGGCTCGGCTATGTCCTTCACCTCCATGGGGCACTCAGGTTGTGGATAGAAAAAAAAAAGAAACGTTCAGTGAAGCAAGCCTTAGTCAACAAGTGAGGGGAGGAGTTGGGATCAGTAGGGGAAATGTTTAATGCTCAAATCTGTTTAATACCTCCCAGGACATTTCCCAATTTGAATATGAAATAAGGATTTTAAATTCTTCTGAATAGTTCTTCTAAGAAACTAAAAGCAAAAAACAGAAGCTAGATATTAACTAGAAATAAAGAACAAAAAGATAAAAGGGGAGACTGTGTGTTATATATTTTTTTATCCTCACCCGAGGACATTTTTTCTTTTTTCTTTTTTTTGTTCAGATAGAGTGGGAAGGAGAGAGACGAAGAGAAAAAGAGAAACATCGACGTGAAAGGGACACATCGAGTGGTTTGCCACCCGCACGAACCCAACCAGGGCCTGGGACAAACTGCAACCGAGGTATGTACCCTTAGCGGAAACTGAACCCGGGTCTCCCTGGACCACAGGCCAATGCTCTAACTGCTGAGCCAAACCGGCCAGGGCAGAGACTGTGTTTTAATGCTTCCAATACCATAGATTGAATGAGGATCTGGATTTTGAACAGTCACAGTTTAGAACCAGCCCTATCATATAGAAGACAGAACTACCAACAGTGTTTAAGAGTGCAGCTCTTGCCCTGGCCGGTTTGGTTCAGCGGTTAGAGTGTCGGCCTACGGTCCAGAGAGGCCCGGGTTCGGTTCCCGCTGAGGGCACGTACCTTGGTTGCGATTGGTCCCTGGCCCTGGTTGGGTCGTGCGGGTGGCGACCACTCAATGTGTCCCTTTCACATCGCTGTTTCTCTCTCTCTTCCTCTCTCTATCTGAACAAAGAATGGAAAAATGTCCTCGGGTGAGGATAAAAAAAAGAGTGTAGAGTCTTAAGGAAACCTATGGCTCTGCAATGTATCAACCATGTGACCTTTGAGAACTGATTAACCTCTCCAAGCCTCGAATATCTCAGAATACTGGGAATAAAAACATCTACCCTATAAAGTTGTTGTAAACATTAAGTGAAATAATGTATGCAAAGGGTTTAGCTCAGAACATGACCATGTGGAAATCACTAAAAAAAAAGACCTGTGATTAAGATCGTCCATTATCATGACAATCTTAATTTGAACCATTATCAAGCAGTCTTCCCAAACAGGGCATGCTGAAACTTACTAAGTAAAAGTAAGGCAAAGAGTTCCCTATCTGTCAAAGGTCGAATCTCTACTCAACTATCAATTATATCAAAATACATAGTATTTTATTATAATATATAGTCTTTTTTGAAGAAAAGAAAATAATCTATGATATAATCAATTTCCACAGAATGAGTTCACTGTCATCAAGAAAATAACCGTAGGTATCAGAGATACCAGAGAAAGGGACTGGGGGTAGGTGAAAGGGAGTGATAGATAATAACTAGACTTTTTGGGGGTGAACACTTTGTACTGTACACAGAAGACTAATTATAAATGACCTGAAACTTACATAATAAAAAGAAAGAAAAAAAAGTGAAAAAGTGTATTTCTGACAGGTCCTACGACCAGATAAGGTCTTTTTCATTGAATTATGTTTTTATTGATTTTTTTAGAGAGAGAAGAAGGGAGAGATGGAAACACTGATGTGAAACAGAAACATCGACCGGCTGCCTCCTGCACCCCCAAAACTGGGGATCGAGCCCACAACCTAGGCATGTGCCCTGACAAGGGATTGAACCAGGACCTCTCAGTCCATGGGACGACACTCAATCCACTGAGCCACACTGGACGGACCCAGATATAGTCTTTTTATTCGGAGCAATTCATCCTAAATTGTATTGAAATAACATACTAGATTTTCTATGATTACTGATTATGTTTAAACTATCTTCTCTCAACTCCAAAGAAAAAGTTCTATAGACACCCAATATACCTGCTGATATAAATAAATAACTATCCCCTTTTGTCTTCATTTAAGGATAACATACATTTAGTTACGTGCATAAGTCATAAATGTATAGTTCAGTGAATCTTTACAAATGGATACACTCATTTAATCCTCACTTACTTCATGATATAGAACATATCCAGCATCCTAGAGATTTCTTTATGTCCTCTACTGATCATCAGTGATAGTCACTATTTTGGTTTCTACCAACTAGTTTTGCTCAGAAAACTAAAAGGTTTTAACTTGAAAAAGGGTTTTTAATTAGAAATTTCATGACAGGTAAAATATTAACGCCCTACATACATAAAAACAGTGAATGTTTTGTACTTTATACTAAATTAATAAATTTATACTAAATTTATTTATACTAAATAAATAAATCCATGTGATTCCTTTGCTACTGACTAAAATGCCACCCTAATGGGATTTTCATTAACACAAACCTAATTTCCTATCTGTGCTACAACAAAAGCAAAGATAACTGAAGACTATTTTAGTGAAATATAAGGAATTCAAACTCAAGAAAGCTGTGTGACTTCAGTCAGACAGAACTAGGTTTAAATCCTTAAAATATGTGTAACCTTGGGAAATTACCTTTTACATTCTCAGTTTTCCCATGTAAAATGGGAATAAAATGACCTATCTTATCATAAATATTTAGATAAAAAGGTATATAAAATACATAATATAGTGTCTGACACACAGAAGGTGCTCAATAAATGTAACTACATGTATAATTACCTGCATTTGGGCTAGACAGAGATGCTGTGGCCACAGGCTTCCGTTTCCTCTTGATGTCAAGTGAGCATGGGGGCCCCAAGTGTATGCTTGCCTGTCTGCAGAGGTAACAAAGAAAACATACTGCTTAACTTTGTAATTCTCATTGTGTTTAAAAGATTGTGTTCAGCCCAGATAAACTTGTTGACCATTATAAATATACTAACAAAGTCATCAAGTGTCGCCCTGGCCAGTTTGGCTCAGCGGTTAGAGTGTCGGCCTGCGGTTCGGAGAGTCCTGGGTTCGGTTCCTGCTAAGGACATGTACCTCGGTTGCAGTTTGTCCCCGGCCCTGGTTGGGTTGTGCGGGTGGCAGCCACTCGATGTGTCCCTTTCACGTCGATGTTTCTCTCTCTCTTTCTCTTCCTCTCTCTCCCTCCCACTCTCTCTGAACAAAAAATGGAAAAATGTCCTCAGGTGAGGAGAAAATCAATCAATCAATCAATCAATCAAGTGTCAGTACAAGATTATTCACAATTAATCAAAACTCACTCTTTACTCACAAAATATACCCATTCTAAACTTTTTACCTGATTAGTGAAACAGCAGACATTCAAGATTAATATCAGTAAATATGTTATTTCATTACATGCTAATTTTTGTACATTTTTCAAAAAAACTATAACCTCAATTGTTTTAAACTCGATAATGAAATACCTACTCCCGAGTGGTAATATACTGAAAAGTTTAATGCTGCATGAACACGGATATTTGCATAGAATTTTAATAGGAAGTTTAACCCTTCTGTCATTATACATCCAGTTTTTTAATAGAGTCTACATAGGAAATTGAGTTTCTGTGATTTTTAAAAATATAAATTATTTGCTAATATGTCCCCTTTCCTGAATGTTCAGCTTATTTTAAAAACAAAACAATGAGCGGTTCAACACTAGGAAAGCAAAGATTCTCTGAAAGACAATGGGCTTAACACTGAGACAGCTGATATGCTATTTTATTCCCCACTTCCTCCTTCCACTCCAACGAGACACATGCTACCCCTAACCAAGCTGAGTCTCACCTTTACAGAAAGCTTTCCTTAAACATTCAAGGCCTTATCTTCCATGAATTATTATTTAACTTCTGTACATATATCTTATTTCCCTAATGAGGCTTAATCTTCTTGAGAACAGAGAAATATTTATATTTCTTTCATAATTTTCCAATGTTCTAGCAAAAGACATATAGCTGATCCTCATTAATATCTGTTGACTAGAACTCATATGAATATATAAAAATCTAAAAACTGCCCAGCCGGTGTGGGTCAGTGGTTGAGCATTGACCCATGCACCAAGATGTCGCCGGTTCAATTCCCAGTCACCGCACATGCCCAAGTTGTGGGCCAAATCCCCAGTGGGGGGCATGCAGGAGATGGCCAATCAATGTTGTTTCTCGTCAATGTTTCTCTCTCTCCCTCTCCCTTCCTCTCTCTAAAATCAATAAAGAAAAAATTTGAAGGAAAAAAAAAGTTCTAAAAACCAAATAGCCAATTGTATAATTAAAATGGTTAAAATGGTAAACTTTGTTATGTACATTTTATCACAATATTTTTTTTTAAATAGAATATATAAGATATAAAAAGGAATACAGGAGACTTCCGGTCAAGATGGCAGCGTAGGTAAACGCAGTATCATGTCCCCCCACAACCACATCAAACTTACAACTAAACTACAGAACAACCATCATTCAAAACCGCCTGAATTCAAGCTGAATGGAAGTCCTACAACTACGGAATTAAAGCAGCAGCCACATCCAGACTGGTAGGAGGGGCGGAAGCAGACGGGCTGGCCCCACACCCACGTGTGGCGGATAAAAATCAGGAGGACACCTTGGCTGGGAAGGTCCTTCCTGAGGACTGAGGGGACCCCATCCCACACCAGGTGTCCTGCTCAGGGTTCCAGTGCCAGGAAGAGAAGTCGCCATCACTTCAGGCTGGAAAAACCAGCAGGAACTGAGGCTCAGGGAGGCTGAAGCGGCTGGAGCCCCAGGCAGCTCCTTAAAGGGCCCGCGCAGGGACTTACCGGACTCTCTCCCTCTAAGCTTGGAGGGGAGGCAGCTCGAGGAGCACCAGAGACATACAGGGAAGAACTGAGCTGTTTGGCACTGGAGCGAGGGCTGGAGAGGGGGCTTTCTCGGGGACAAACGTGCTGTCAGAGGCCTTTGTTCCTTTGGTGAACCCTTCCCTGGGGCGCAGACAGTCGCCATATCTGGGACTCCAGCAACCTGGCTCACACTGGTAGCCCCGCCCTGGTGACTCCCTGAGGCCCCGCCCCACCCCGCCCCACCCAACTTTCAAGCCCACCCAAGCTGTTGCCACTTGCTTAACCATAGGATTGGCCTGTCTTGGATCCTGCTTCAGGTTTTTCCTAAATTCTTTCAAACGAGCAGCATCTGGTCTCAGCGAGCCTCATACCTCTCATTAAGTAATACACTGAAACAAACACAGGGAGGCAGCCAAAATGAGGAGACAAGGAAACAGGTCCCAAATGAAAGAACAGAACAAAACCCCAATAAAAGAACTAAGCGAAATGGAGACAAGCAACCTAACAGATACTGAGTTCAAAATACTGCTTATAAGGATGCTCAATGAACTTAGTGAGAACCTCAGTGAACTTAGGGAGGGCCTCAAGAGCATAAAAAAGGACCAGTTAGAAATCATGGATACACAGTTAGAATTGAAGGAGGCATTAACTGAAATAAAGAATAATTTACACAGCTTCAATAATAGAGTACGTAAATCCAAGGAGCAAACCATCGATTTGGAATATAAGGAAGTAAAAAATGCCCAATCAGAACAGCAAAAAGAGAAAAGAATCCAAAAAAATGAGGATAGTGTAAGGAGCCTCTGGGACAACATCAAGCCTGCCAACATTCGCATCTTGGGGGTGCCAGAAGGAGAAGAGAGAGAACAAGAAATTGAAAACCTGTTTGAAACAATAATGGCAGAAAACTTTCCTAACTTGGTGAAGGAAACAGACATACAAGTCCAGGAAGCACAGAGAGTCCCAAACAAGATGAACCCCAAGAGGCCCACACCAAGACACATCATCATCAAAATGCAAAAGGTTCAAGACAAAGAGAGAATCTTAAAAGCAGCAAGAGAAAGGCAGCTAGTTACCTACAAGGAAGTTCCCATTAGGCTGTCAGCTGATTTCTCAAAAGAAACTTTGCAGGCCAGAAGGGAGTGGCAAGAAATATTTAGAGTAATGAAAAGCAAGAACCTACAACCAAGATTACTCTATCCTGCAAAGCTGTCATTTAGAATCGATGGCCATATAAAAACTTTCCCAGACAAGAAAAAGTTAAAGGAGTTCATCACCACCAAACTGTTATTATATGAAATGATGAAGAGTCTCTTTGAAGAAAAAGATAAAATATATGAACAAACAAAATGGCAATGAACACATATCTATCGACAATGGAATCTACAAACAAAATGAACAGGTAGAACAGAAACATTCTCATAGATACAGAGAACATTTTGTTGATTGCCAGTTGGGAGGGGGGTTGGGGGAATGGGTGAAAAAGGTGAAGAGATTAAGAAGTACAAATTCATTGCTAGACTGACAAACCTCAAAGGGAAAGGGGTTGGGGGGGTGGGAAGAAATAAACCAAAGAACTTATATGCATAACCAATGGACACAGACAATAGTGTGGGAAAGGTGGGAGGGGGGCGGGAGTGGGGAGGAGGGGGTCAATGGGGGGAAAATGTGGAACATCTGTAATACATTTTACATCCAACAATAAAGATTTAAAAAGAAAGGAATCTAGTAAAATTATACCAGATGAGCTCCTAATTGGTACTCCTAGCTGGAGATCAAGTCTATTCTTGAAACTAGAACCTCAGTCAAATCTAAGAGAACCTAGTTAGCAAGGCAACAAGACAACTGGTGAATAGACACATTTTCCTGGGACTCCCAATCTGGCAGTATTTTTCATAGAACATAATTTCTCATTATAGTTCTCTCTCTCTCTCATGCTCTTTTCTCCAAACAGCAAAAGCTTAAGAAACCATTCAATTTATAAATAAGGAAAGATAACAATTTGACTGAGATCATAAGACATTTTTTAGAATGCAAAGGACACCAAAATAGGCAAAGATTTACACTATAAAGCCTGTGGTTTGACAAAGTCTGTCCAAATCACCTTTTATTGATCCTTCTCTTCTGTATGGAAAAAGGAGTCAACTTTAGAATAGTTAATTCCAAAATTCCAACTTGAAATGTAAAGTAAGTGTATAAAGAAGGGAAAACAATTCATCTTTCATACCTTACATAAGTTCTGAGAATAAGTCTAAATCAGCATGCTGATTTAATAATAAGAAAGATAGATGACAGAATGTCAAAAGTAGACAGACTTTGGTCCAAATGCAGAGGTGATAACTCCCTTTGAAGCCAGACACCGGCAGAAAAGAAACTGACACTACAACATTTTGTTTCTCTTCAAAACAGAATATACAGAATAGTTTCCATCTTCTCTACAAACCAGGTATTGAGTACACTCAGACGTAATCTCACACTGTCCAGGCACTTTGTTCTAATTCCATCCTGCTTCCCCTTAAGGTACTTCAGAAAGAGAAACAAGTCAGACAAAGGGTTAACAGTTTGTATTTATGCTATTTCTTCTTTACCTGAAGCTTATCAAGGACTCTCCAAAACTTCTTAGATTAAATGTTAACACTATTTCTTCAAACTTAACTATTTTATCAGGACAATGGTACCTTTGAGCTGTGGGGTGTAGGGCAAGAAAGGCAAAGACTAGGAGCTTCTGGGGTTCTTTCTGGTAATGTTCTATTTCTGGATGCTGAAAATTCATCAAGGATAATTTATTTGTAAACTTCTCTATATGTACATTGTCCTTCAATTAATTAAAAAACTCTGCTTCTTCAAGATCAATGTTTATAAAATGCTGAGTTGTAGAAAACAGATGCAAAATGAAAAGCCTTAGAAAAATACTTAAAAGGGCTTTAAGATATTCATTCTCAAAGTAACAACTTGGGCTGAACTAAATAAATATTGCCTATTATTTACACACTGTGCATCATTTTTACAGCTTTGCATGTT